TCTGAAAGTTGAATGTTTTTCTTGTGATTTTGATCAGCGAACCTTCATTCACATAATAAATGCTGTCCTTGTGTTCCAGATTGATTACCCAGAGATAGCAGAAGGTATCGGGCCGAGGCATCGCTTCATGTCAGCGTATGAGCAGAGAATCGAACCTCCGGACCGTCGCTGGCAGTATCTGCTGTTCGCAGCCGAGCCGTATGAAACCATCGCGTTCAAGGTCTGTTGACTACTTTTACTGTAAAAGTGCATGCATGTTTAATATTGCACTGATGTCTTTAACGTAAATAAGGCAATTACTTTTTTTTTTCTTTTTTCTTTTTTTTAAATAGTATTGCATTGTTTGTTAAATCTAACATTATTTTTACTGCTTAAAGTTAACCAATAAAACAGGTTAACTAGCATTTATATTACATTATATTCCTTTGTCAGGCTACATCTGAGATTTGATTGTCATATTTTCAGGTTCCCAGTCGAGAGATCGACAAAGCAGAGACTCGTTTTTGGACACACTGGAACAGGGAGACGAAACAAGTAAGAACAGATGGATAAAAGTCAGTTGTGTTTATCTGGACCGTCTCCATGTGCTGACCACAACCTCTCGTTCCCCTCCAGTTTTTTCTGCAGTTTCACTTTAAGATGGAGAAATCTCTGCCCGCTCCACCGGGTCAGGCGGTGTCGGTCGGTGTGAAGCGTCCACCTTTGCTCATCACCGGACTCGGTCCACATCCGCACAGTGACTCCATGCCCCCCCCACCGCCGGGAGGAATACATGGGATGCCCCCCGGAGCCCACATGTTGCCCCACATGCGCCCACATATGCCTCCTCCAGGAGCCCTGCCTCCTCACCTGAGGCCACCACTCCCTCACGACGGCTGAAGGAGTTACGCTTTACTTGAAGGTTTTATAGATAATGCATTAATAAAAGTATTTGAATGCATTCACCTTATAATGCATGTGGGTCAAAGATGTTAAGATTGAGAAAAGAAATTGACAAAAGTGATTTTATGTCCATAGAAAGCACATT